AGTTAGGGCGTGGAATGTTTTGCTTTCGAAACTCAACGGTACTCATTCCGTTGGAATGATCGCTTGCATTATGAACAGCCCTGCTTTGTGGCCTTGCTTTCGCAGAAATTGCTCGCTAAGATGAAAAATTTTCTCCGCGCTGACCCTAAATGCTGTAAGTCTTTGCCATGTTTTGTGCTTTTCGTGTTTCGCTTTTTATGTACCAAGCGCATAGCATACGTGTATTTAAGTATATTTGTGTTTTGCTTGCCGATCTAATAAATTTGAATGTGACTGGTTAATTCAAAACTCGCAGAAAAATTAAACTACCGTTAGGATGATCCTTGACAGATACATCGAGCAAGCGATGGGTACTGTAAATGGCTGTGTCTGGGTTTACACCGTTGAAATTCCAAGTATCCTATCGCACGCATCGTTTACGACGATAAGTTCGGCTGGCATTACCATTTTCCAAATGGATCCGAACACAAAGAGAGAGAGAGAGAGAATTTTATTTCAAAAATCAAACGCATCACAAAATTTAAGGATCAAAATTCTTCGAAATTTCAGCAAACAAAACGCAAATGAAAACAATAATTGTCTGTATGAAGAAAAAATAAAAAAGTTACAATTTTTTCAAAAAATAACCCAAATAGCAACGAGCGCAATAGTCTCCGGTGTGATTTTGAATTTTGCAGCTTAAAATTTGCCTTATTCTCATTTTTTTTATTTATTATTAAGGATCCGGCTGCATCAAGTTAATGCAAAAAAGAATGTTTGCACTGGCGGGACTGGCGTGTTGCTATTTGGGCCGCATTTGCATAAAAATGCGAAATGCAAAAAAAAATTAATTAAAACGAATCGATAAGAAATGACAAAGATGCCAATTAAAAAGGCCAAACAAAATGACAAAATTTAAATACAATAAAATTTCTTTTCAAATTTCGAAAAAATTTTGAAATAACTTTTCTATTTCGTTTGATTTTCCGTTGAATTTTCCGGATAAAATTTTCTGATGACTTCACGCCGCTTCTCGGGATTTGGTTTGTCCTCAAATTCCTCCGCTGCACGAAGTGCCCGCTCGAGATCACATAGTTTGTCGCTATCCTCTTCTGTGCCACTTAATCTCATCCGCTCGATTTCTTCCTTCAAACCCAGCTCGCTGAATTGTTCCCCGTACATTTGCAGCTAAATGTGCACCAAACATTATTTTCAAGTTAAGAAAGAATGCCAAAGTGCTAATTTTTTGCAAACGTAATGGTGCGCGAGAAGACATCACTTTTGGGGCATCACCGAGCTAAAAGTGTTGAAAACCGCAATAGGCTTACGAACGGAAATCACGAAGACAGAGCCTCCTTAACATGCATTTTTGAATTCATAACTTGGTGTCATTTCTTCCATCCAGTGGTTATACAGAAAACATTGGAAGGTGAGTTTTCTTCAAGTTTTTGCGTATCAAAAATTAAAAGGTCAAAATTTCGCTTCGCTCACCACATGTGGGAGGCGGAGGCATTTCGATTGTTCCCCAGTAGTAGCAAATGCCAACAGCAATCAACACTTGGCAGGCTGTCAATGGTTCTCTATTCTGAAGGTTATTTGTAAGCAGGATGATGACCGATTTTCCACGTAAAAACGATAATTTTGGAATTTTTCAAAGAAATCAAAATTTCGCTGCAATATTGTAAGAACTTGAAATCGTGCAGCTTAACCTCTGCCTAATCCATTTAACCGCTCTCTTCCTCAGACACTTTGAAATGTTGCCAAATAAGCGGAAAGTTAAAAATCCCTTCATAATCCGTTTTTCTGTGGGACGGAGTTATTTGGAACGTGATAAAGCAGCAGCGAATGACAAAAATATCAATTCGTGGAAAAGTTTTTCGATGGTTCCCTCTTCCAAGGTTTGCTTACAGATAAGGTGATGGCGGGTTTTATTCCCGACATATGCTAGTGTCAATTTGCTGTCGATGAGAATGAACTAGTCTCAGCGGCATTAGCTATCTCGCCGAAGGAGAATCAAATCTGCAGTTCTTAAATGATGAGATCGAAAAATGCAAGGATGTCTTCCATTTTTTTCCCACGCAACCCGTGATAGCTCATCTTA